CAAGCACATTTAAAGAGCTTCAAGCACATTTAAAGAGCTTCAAGCACATTTAAAGAGCTTCAAGCACATTTAAAGGACTTCAAGCACATTTAAAGGGCTTCAAAGCACTTTTCAAGGCTCCCCAAGCACTTTTGATGTACTCCAAGCACTTTTCAAATAACTTTGAGGGCTTTGTGCTTGCCAAGCCCAAAGCACTTTGAGGGCTTTGTGCTTGTGAAGCACTTCTGAAAATAAAAAGGAATTTGTGCTTGAAATTGAAAGCACTCTGATAAAGGGCTTAGGGCTTAGTGCTTCAAGCCCTTTCACTGAGGGCTTTGCCCAGCTCTGACTCTATCATCCTCAAACTTCAAAGAATGCCTACAAAACATCATTAATTTTTCACGGATTTTCAAAAAACTATCGACTTCTCCCCGTAGTGACCTTTCCAGACCTAACTTGACCGCAAAAACTTTTCTTGACTGTGCTTAAGGGTCAACTCTATCATCCTCAAAACCTCAACTTCAAAAAATCCCTACAAAGCATCATTAATTTTTCACGAATTTTCAAACAAATTATCAATTTTCTTCCGTAGTGAGTCTCCCAGACCTAATTTGGCTGCAAAAACTATTCTTGACTGTGCTTATGGTCAACTCTATCATCCTCAAACTTCAAAGAATGCCTACAAAACATCATTAATTTTTCACGGATTTTCAAAAAACTATCGACTTCCCCCCGTAGTGACCTTTCCAGACCTAACTTGACTGCAAAAACTTTTCTTGACTGTGCTTAAGGGTCAACTCTATCATCCTCAAAACCTCAACTTCAAAAAATCCCTACAAAGCATCATTAATTTTTCACGAATTTTCCAAGAAATTATCGACTTCCCCCCGTTATGACTCTAGTGAAGTTAGGTCTGGGAGAGTTATACTCTTACCGTGTTCCTATATAATCTGTAACTCCTATTTATCATTATTAATCCTAAGTACTCTTGAATAATACATAAATCTGTGTTTTTGTCCCTAATACTTATGTTGTAGTTTTATTTAATGTCTTTATCCATAATAAGAAACGCCTCAGCGCAATTTTCTCTTGGACAGGCTAACACTTGAAGGCGTTTGTCATGAATTTTCAGCACACCAATCTGACTGTTTAAGTCTACAAAATTTTGTGAATGTACTCGTAAGGAGAGTTTTACGTGATATATTTTTTTTAAGGTCATCTGCCCTAGAGGAGCTACCACTGGAAGGCGTCTGCCGCGTGTTTTTAGGTTTCTAATATAATTCTCTTCATGCCCAGAAAATTTCATTTGTGTACTCGTAAGGGGGGTTTTTGATCAAAATTCCCTTATTTGGGGGGCGGTCACGGGAGCGGGTTACCACCCATCGATGGCAGACGGTCGGTTTTTGTTTACGAATGATAAAGTGTTTCGGAGTACCTATAATGAAAATTTTCTGCCCGATGAGGGGGGTGGTTTGAAGCTGGGCCACCGGTCTAAAACGGCATTACCTTTCAGTGAAGAACGCAGTCTTTTCTTTGTCTTTTTCGGTAATGCCCATAAATTGTTGACCCTTCTTCAGTTCCGTAGTGTAATAATTCGATTATAGTAGCCAATAAAACTATATATTTCGTTTATATCACATTTTATTCTATCACAGATGTTGGTTGTTATTAGTCTTACGCCTTTCGATGCTGGTGCAGTGCAGAAGAGATGACCTTTATATTGGTCGACATGACCAGGGTATTTATCCTGCAGAAAGGGACTTGAGATAGTCATATGTATATGACACCCGCCCACTTAAGTGGATTGTGAAACATTATGAATTTTAATGTAGCTTTATTATAAATTGATTAACTGATTTCACTTATTAAATGCCTCACATGTTGATTCCCTATCTTAGAGTTTTCACAAATGTTGAAAACAGCTATTAAAAAAAAATGATAAGCCATTCTCTATAAGTACATGTGTTGTTTGAAAATGAGTAAAAGGTTTGAATCGTTGCAAAAAAACTTAATGTCACACCAACAATGTACCGAAAACGACTGAACGCTTCTGCGGCGGCCTTCGTCCGATTGTCAAAAACAACAAATGAATTTATACAAAATTTATGAAATTCTAAGAATTTCATTCGTTAACAATGAACTTTATACATAAGTAAAAGACAAATACAAACACATTAAAATAAATGCATTAATATCATTTAGTTAGTTCTTCTGCAAACGGATACGTTAAGGATTAAGGGTCCAGACTATGTAACAAAACAAGTTAATAACAGAGTTGCAGAACTTTGTTGTAAGTAAAACTTTGTTGTGTTGTGTAACTTGGTTTAATATAGCAGAAGCTACCTAACCTACTAGTTAGGTAGTATGTAAAATGGCGTCGAACATAGAGGATGGAAACATAGCAGGAGCAGCTTGTGTAATTTTTATTTTTGAAATCCATAAATTTAGGATTCCATAATACCTACTCGTTGCTCACGAAATAGCTCAATTAAATGTGTGGTCAGTTCTTTCAACCAATCCATCGCGTAAGTCCACGTGAACAGAGCAAATAGCAAAATCACTCTAGATAATACAATGCGACGCCAGTGGTTCTCGTTCTCGTACTACGCCAAACACCGATTGATTTCGTAATACCTAACTATTAACATCAAATAAAAGTCAATAAATAGATATTCTAAATCAAGATATTATTTTTATTGGGTAATGTTATATTTTCCAGCCACGTTAATTACCTACGTCCGATAGAAACTGACTGTTCTCACCAACCTCACACTCTCATCTATGTTTTCCGGTCAATTTTTATGCTTCCTATTATCATCACAGTTATCACACATATCGTTCTCTCATCCATATAGGTATGTATACACATCATAGTTCAGCACATTTTACATTGTGGGAAAGGCATTCACCTACTCAACACGTTTACTCTCGACACAAGAGCACCCAATAAGCTGGAAAACTGTCGCTGTCTATAGTAGCATATGTACACATTACTGGAGCATTGGTTCGTTTTTATTTTTCAATTCCCAGTCAAAGATTAATGATGAAGATAGATTAGGGTAAGGCTGGCCAGCATTATGGCACCATTTCATGGTTTGATAACGAAAAGTTTTCTGCTTGATTTTATTTCTTTGTGAACATCCACGAACCCAGTTATCAAATATTTGTTACATGTATGCGTCCCAGGGACATCACTTGAAATATGAACTTTTCTATTAAAAGTCATTCTTCTTAAAGAACATTCTCGAAGCTTCCAAGTTTGCTTACAGCTCCAAGATTGGCGTGATCTGCTTTACTACTTATTTAGACTCTTCTTAAAGAGGCTAGGCACTCTTACTCTCCCTGAACTTGAAATGCTGCTGTGTAAAAGTTTAGTGAAAAACTTTGGAATGATGTCGAACAGAGCATAGTAATTATAGGACAGAGGTGCTGCTGCTGCAGCGTCGAGTGGCTTTCGTATATTTTTGTTTGAGTTACCGGAGTTGTAGGTATTAATTCATAACACTGGGGCGAATCACACCAGTAGCAAAGTTTCCACTAGGTGGAATAAATACATGCCTAGACTTTTAAGGGATTTCTGCCTGGATGTGTTACTCTTATAGACTACCAGCGTATGTCGTGGCCCTATCGAAATGTTAAAACGTGTATGTGTAAACTTATACGTTTCTACCAATTGAGGGAATCTTTCCTGGTTGCGTGTATAAGAGTTTTTCTCGAGAGCTTATATTATGTATTTCGCGCTCGTAAAACCGTAAAAATAGTATGATATTATCGGACAGGTGCTGCTGCAGCGTCGGGTGGCATCCGTATATTTTTGCTAATTTTGCTTGAGTTCCCGGAGACGTAAGTGCATCCTTACAATGTCGCGAATCGTACCACTAGGTGAAATAAGTATTATGTGTATACCTATGCCTAAACATTTGAGGTAATCTTACGTGGTTGAGAGTACAAGCGTGTTACTCTTAGTTTCCCAGCGTATGTCTTGGCCGTGCCAAAAACGATAAAACGTGTAGATACGTGTAAGCTTACGGTTCTACCAATTGAGGGAATCATGCCTGGTTCCGTCTACAAGCATTTCTCTCATGCGCTAACATGTCTGTCTTTCGTAAAATAAGTAATCAGATGACAGATGCTAGATGCTTCAGTGACCTGTCGAGTAGCATTCGTATATTTTTGCTAAGGTTACCGAATCTTTTGCCCGTTACTGTTTATCAATACCGTTGCGTTGTTAAAAATATCACCGTTACTTCTTCTAACATCACTATTATTAACCTTTCCGTTCCTGAATTTTACTCTCTCTTGAACGTTCTCTCTGTTTCTCAATAATTTTCAATTTAATATTTTACCGTAGACTAGTCACATTAGGTGAGGACGTTCCTTTTATATATATCTTTTCCCGTAATACAGAGGTTTCTACTTGCGGTTGAAGTTACTTTTTTAGTATTTTATTGCATTTTCTAGCCCGAAGCTTTTCAGGAATTTTTTAGGAAAAACTAAATAGTTCAATATTTCTACCAGAGATTTATAGATTGTCGACTAACATCTTTTGTGACCCCTGGACTTCCGTTTCTCAAGTGTAACAACCTCAACCTGGTGCACGCGGGCCCTCAACCACTTTAATCCTGAGGGTGGCGCCTGAGGCAAATCACCGACTACGTATCCACACCGTGAAAAAATCGCCTCACACCACAAACCTACCTTAATAATGCATGCATTTTAAAAAATATATTCTCTTTTTCCTAGCGGCTAAGGATTTTATTCTGGGTCATTATCAAATTTAAATCGATGAATTAATCAATAAAGTAGAAAATCACAACAGAATCTAAACTGAAAAAAGCATCCGCGTACTCGTTTTTCTATACATTCTCTTATTTACTTCCGAACAGCAGCTTGCACTAGTCTAGTTCTTCAGTGGCCGAGATTGGGTCAAAAATTTCTTCAGCATTAGCAGTGATACGCGATTTCTTCTTTGGATTAAATAAATAATACCTAATCTGAATTATTTCTTTCATAAAGAAAAAATGAAACTGTGGTTTAGTGTTTGTTTTCTAATTGCTACCTGTTTGTGCTTCATTCAAGGTAGGTCCTATTTTCGTACACCACAGTTGAGGCAGCTAATAAAAATAAATTTGTTTTAGTCCATGGTCAAGTTGGGGCATTTTTTGACTTACGGTATTGGAGATGCGTTCTCAAAAAGGAATTTATTTGTCCTGATAATGATATCAAATACTATTTATACACACCGTAAGAATTTATTTCAAATCATCAAATTATTGATTAAACAATATATTCTTCTTTCTAGCCACACGGGTCGTACGAGACTGAGAATAGATGTAAGAAATCCTTATTCGTTAAAGTTTTCTAATTTTAATTCAAAAAAGAAAAATGTGTTTATTGTGCATGGTTTTAATGGTACGGAAAGCAAAACTCCCATGACGATTTTAAGGGATGGTAAGTAAATAAATAAATGTTTCGAATCTTAATTCTCTTGTAAATAAAAACTTATTCGAGTGAAACCGCAAAAAAAAACAGAATGTGGGAGAAAATTTCAGAGGTTTTGCTCTTTTGAGATCATCCCGATCATTAATCTCTGTCACTCCTCTATCAATTTGGGTTTATTAAAATTGAGATATGGCATTATAATTTTTTTGTGTACCTATACAAGTTCAAAGCATAATTAAAAGTTTTGATTTTTTCTTCTTTATTCATCTACCTAATTGGTTTACTAATATTAGTTTTTAGCCTATTTATACCGTGGAGACTACAACATTTTCAGCGTAGATTGGAGCGATCTCACAAATTTTCCCTGCTACCTTTCATCCCTCTCCAATACTCGACTAGTAGCTCAATGTACTGCAAAATTATACGCTTTTGTAATGGCGAATGGAGGTGAAGCGGAAGAGACCACGTGTGTGGGGCATTCTTTGGGAGCTCATATTTGTGGTATGATCAGTAATCATTTGACATTGAAGCAACACAAGATAGTGGGTAAGGAAACAAGACTTTTCTATTATACCAACAACCAACAATGTGATACCCATCATTTACCATTCCCAAGATCTTTTTTTGGCTTGTATAGCGTATAACGCAAGGTATATTGATTGGGGTTTTTTCAGAACAAACGATTTACTTCTCAGAACTATTTTCAAACGCCAATATCCTGCGATTTAAAGCCGCTAGACCTTTTTTATGTATTCACTTAAAAGCAAAGTTTATGCCAATACACTAAAAAAAATACATAATAATTGAAGAAATAACTATTAATGAAATTCAACCGGCTTTATGTGAGGCTGTGATCAAAAACTTGATATTATCTCGAATTCGCGCTACTGATGCAACGAATTCGTAGCGGCCATTTTCCTGATAAACCGTTTCCTTTATAATGGGAACGGGTAAAAAAAATGTGAACCAAAGATGGCTATGTAGGTCAGGAAACAGAGGTTGAACCTCGCAAACTCGACACAAGTTCTGTTCTCTGAAAAGTAGCGCTTGATTGATTGACATTGATACTCTGCGAATGAGCCCTTTTCTTTGCCTTAAATTCTCAATATTTTGACCCCACATCGTATCGGAAGGACTGGGAGGAGCACATCAAAATTACATGTTTAAGTTTTAAAATCACTACAGAGTCACGTAAGAGAAGTATTCAAATATCCATTGCAAAATGTTTGGTGTTCGTTACAAGAAAACCCCTGGGACCCAATTCTCGTCGCAGGGAGAGGAGAGCTCCCCGAGAGAACGGATTTTTTGTTCTTGTCAACGTAATCGAAAAGTGAACGAGAATGATAAAAACGAAAAATTTGTTCTCTCGGGGAGCTTTCCTCTCCCTGAATCGGGCCCCTGGTCACCTGCGAACGACAATGCTGAAGTTTTCAACACATGTAAAAAAAATATGTAGATAGTAGTATTTTTTGTAGATACCTAATGTATGCTTGTACGTGACAGATCTATAACCCCTCAGCAAACTATTCTTCTTAACACGTTCACGACCTCGCATATGTGACATGCAGGGAAAACCTACCGGAAACCGATGTCACATATATGTGACATTGAACGAAACACATATAACCTGTAAAAAATATATTATTTCTGTCAAAAGTTACGCTACCCAAAAAAACGCGTTAGGTTTCAAGCATCGTCAAATTTCATAATAGCGGCCCTGAACGTGTTTCTACCAAATGTCCATATGTAGTCGACTGTTGGTTAGTGGTGAGAATGATTTGGAACGGTCTATGATACCACTCATTAGAGGGCGTGTGCGCCAAAAAAACAACTTCATCTCAAAAAAAAAAGAGAAAAAAAATCTAAGAATTACAGTGAAAGCCGCACTCCTCCATGACAAATAATACCGAAGAAATGGCTCTATGAAGGTACCGCATCTCACCCCTATGACGTCACGAGAGCTCAAGCAACGCACGAGATAGTGAAGTTCATTGAATTTACAGAATTATGTTTTTCCTGTGTCACCTGCAATAATCTAAACAAAAACGACTGACCCGTGCCGGGAACAAACAAATGAACAATGCGGAGCGCGGCTGGACAAAGCTCTCGTGACGTCACACATACTTTAAGGCGGTATATCTCAGCGATGGTTTATCGTAGAATAACGAGGTTTAAACAGTTATTAGAGAGTTATTGGAACTATTAAATACTGCCTGGCAGTATTAGGGATCTACGTTATTTTATTAGTGCATCAGCACTATTTCTCCAAGAAAATGACAGTTATTGGAAGCCTGTAGTATGTGTTAATAGTGGAGTAAAATCACAATGAAATTATGACTTTGAGTGATTCCGATGTATAACCAGATGAAACCTATATCATCTTGTAGAGGACACTCTGGGGCATAGGAAATGGGAATGTACAACTTTTTTTAGTAGGACTGAACTTTTAAATCGGCCCTTAAACGTGACTGAGCTCGAATTTGAAAAACTACGTTTTTCTAAACATTACCCGCTGCGTATTAATTTGGGCATACAATCTAAAATTCTAATTTTTTGCACACTTATACTTGAAACATGAGCGCTTCTGATGACAGTTCAGAAATTTCGAAAAGGTTTAAGGTTTTTTTGTTAAAAAGTTGGGAATATAGAATTATCAAAATCGTGCATCTAAAACTTCACCCTGCGGCTAGCAATGTGAATTATTGAAAATTTCTATACATATAAATGGAATCAAATTTAGTAAAAATATTGACGAAGTTTTTGAAAAAAAAATTAAGTCGCTAACTTTAACGGTTATAGAAATATGAATTTTTATCCGGGAGCTTTGAAATGCGCTCTGATGCTGAAAGCGGCTAGCGGCTACCATTCTGGAAATCATCTGCGTTACTGCAAGGACGTACCCAGCGAGGGGCAGGGGGGGGCAGCTGCCCCCCCCCCTAAAATTTTTTATAAATTATAAAAAGGCTCCGCTAAGTGCAGAAAATAAAAAAATCAAAATAAACCACTATGGTTTTACTAAAAAAATTACAAACCCGAAAAATATACTACTAAATACTACTAAAATATATTCATATACCTACGTAAGTCAAACGCAGCGCACTGCACAGCCTACTAGATTTGCAATTAGCGGAATTAGCAAAGAAATATGAATTTTCTATTACGATCCTGGCCCCTGCGAATTTGTTGTATTGTGTTGTTTTTCTAACGGAATTCAATATTATTTTCATTTGTTATTCAATGTTAATTTGTTTGTGCAAGTACTGCAAGTAAACTTAATTTACTTAGTTGTTGATAAACGTCTATGCTATGTTACGTTACACTAGTAAACATTGTCAGAAATTTATATTAGATTGTACTGTAACGAAAATTACCCTGAGTCCGCCTCTGACTCTTCCCGGCCGCGTGGAGAATTCTCGAGACGCAGCGCGAAGCTTCGTACGTGCTGCGGAGAGAATCTTCGAGAAGCAGGCGCTTCGGATATAAAAGGAAGAATGTCGGGCGGCGAGGGCAGATTTCGCCAGTGCCGGGTTGAAGAATAGAATACTTTTATAAATAAATACAAGATACAAGGCGCTACATAAACTAGTTAGTGTGTTTAGTTAAATTAATCAGAGTGAATTTTAGTTAAGTGTTAATAAAAGTATAGTTTTAATTAATTGGCAGCTTTTATCACATCGTAGTCGAACAAGTTCACTCTAAAAACGTTACAGTACTTATTGGAAAATCTGCTGAATCTACCTATTTCGGGCATCTCGGTATCTCCACACTGATAAATGGATATCAGGAAATTTTTTCAAACAGGTAAGTTACAGTTAGTAAGTTACATTCGACGACATTTGTGTAATATCTGTAAATTCCAATTAAAAAAAACAAAATGTTTTTTTCCATGTTACATGTTAAACAAAACACTAACATGGATATCACTCACACTGTATAAAATACTAATAGCGGCATTATTGTATTTTGCAGCTACTAAAACTCTCAAGAGGAAAAAAGAACATGACAGTAGCAGCGGGAGCGATGATAACAATGATCAAATTTCATCGCCAAGCCCATCTAAAACTGAATCTGAATCTGAGCAACCGCTAAATTCTTTGAGATCTAAGAAAGTCACTGCTCCTAATTTAGAATCTTTACCGTCAACATCTGGCTCTGTAGTCAATCCCGAAATTGAAGAGAATGATGGTTGCCACGAAAATGACTTGGGTCGTTATGTAGGACAAACATTTCACCTGACGATGGAAAGAAAAAAAGAGTTGTTAAAAAATCCGTGGGTTCCACCCAAGAATTACGATTTTGCAGCCGATGCCAGTCATTTGCGAAGAAAATTTAATTATGCTTGGTTAGATCAATACACACCATGGTTAGTGTATTCCAAGCGACTAAAGTGTGCTCTGTGTAAGCACTGTGTTTTATTTCCTCCTTCTACTGGCACAGTAAGGGGAGTGTTAGGTTCATTTATGATCAGACCATTTACGAAGTTTAGGAATATGCACGAAGATTGTCGTAAACATGATGCCACCAATAACTTTCACAAATCTGCATCTGCTGCTGCAAAGGCCTTTCTCGAAAATATACCTGTGGACATTCAAGTTCAAAGTTTCCACCAAAAAACAATCGAAGAGAACAAGCAAATATTGGCCTCTATTATTTCCTGTGTAGTATTCTGTGGCACACACGATATGCCTCTACGAGGAAAAGAAGCAGATGAGGGAGTTTTTTTCGATCTAATGAATTTGCGAGTTGAGTCGGGCGACATCAAATTAAAGAATCACCTGGAAAAGTGTCGTTGAAATGCTGTTTATACGTCACCAAAAATACAAAACCAACTCATATATTTATGTGGCGAAGTTATTAGGGAGAGTGTGATAAATGATGCAAAGAAAGCCATGTTCTACACAGTTTTAGCCGACGAGACAGCCGACGTTTCAGGAAAGGAGCAGCTATCCATTGGCTTGCGTTTCTATGATGAAAGTAAAAAAAAAAAGTCCGAGAAGAATTTGTGGGTTTTGTGGAGCTGACAGCACAGGATGCCCCAGCAATTGCCAATGCAATAGACAATTTTTTAGTTAGCTATAATTTTTCACCGCATAGTTGTGTAGGACTTGGTTTTGATGGCTGCGCTACGATGGCGGGCAAAGAGGGTGGCGTACAAGCGATTTCAAGGAAAAAGTACACACGAGCATTATTTTTTCATTGCTCAAACCATAAAATAAATCTTGTTGTCAATGATGCAAATAATGTTCCGGAAATTAGAAACACTATTGGCACCGTAAAGGATGTTATAACCTTTTTCAGGGAATCCACCACTCGCAGAAGTTCCGCTCCTAATCTATCACGACTGTGTGAGACTAGATGGTCTGAAAAATACAAAAGTATTCGCTTATTTGCACAAAATTTCCTCGAAATTGTGAAATCACTTGAAAAACTATCTATCGAAGGAACTACGCCACGAGAAAATCTGCGTACCAGTTGCATGCCGCCGTTACCAAACCCTCACTAATTGTTGCCCTAACTATAATTGCAAAATATTCAGCTTTACTGGA